GCCCGCCCGCCCCCAAGCGCCCGCCCCCGCAGAGTTCTCGTTGTCTGGCGGGCCGCAGGGCGGCGGCATGCTGGCCGCCGCCGGCTCCGACCAGCAGCTGAGCCAGCAGGACAAGGCCGGCTCCCTGACGTCTGCCGCCGGCAACATCGCCACCCTGGCCTCTGGCAGCAGCGTCATCGCCGACGCCGCAGCCCTGGCGGCCGGGCAGCAGCCCTACGCGCCGCTGGGCAGCGTGGCGGTCGCGGCGGCGGCGGCGGGCAGCTGCCCGCCCGCCAACGGCCGCGCCGGCGCGGCCTTTGCCGCCACCCCCAGCGGCAGCGTCATGTCGCGGGCGCCTCAGAAGTACCTGATTCAGAACCAGAGTGGCATGAAGGTTTACTACTGGACCCAGGACAGCAGCAAGGTAGGGAGGAGGGCAAGGGCAGGGGCGGGGCGCGGCGCGGCACTTCTGGCGGCATGGCTGGCAGCCCGGGGCTGGGAGCGCGGCGGCGCGGCTGCGGCGCGCCAGGCGCCAAGCCGCGCGCCGGTGCCGCCTCTGCCCGGCCGCCCACCAGACCGCCAACCGCCCCGCCTGCCTCCACTCCTCACTGGTTCCTGCAGGACAGCGCACCCCGCTCTCCCGTCTACTTCCTTGACAACGGCGCCAGCGAGAACCTGCGAGTGGTGCCCGCCGCCAAGCGCCTCTCCTTTGTGCAGTTTGGCAGCGGCGCGGTGGGCAGCGAGCGGCACGGCGCCACCATCAACCTGCACTTCGAGGGCAACTGGATGCCGGTGGTGGTGAGCCTGGGCTGCGCTGTGCCGCGCCGCGCTGGGCTGCGCGGCGCGGCGCGGCGCTGCGCGGCGCTGAGCTGCCCGACTCTGGTCCCGCGTAGCAGCTGCCCCGAACCACCCACCACCTGCCCCGGCCCCTGCCGACCACCCTGCCCCATCTGCCCACCCATCCGCCCCCACCACTCCCCCTGCAGGACGTGGCTGTGAACGTGGTGGGCAAGTACCGGTACCGCATGACGTCCCCGGCGGATTCCACTTGGGTCCCGCTCATCATCGACATCATCCTGGTGGGGCGCACCAAGATCATCACCCTCCACTCAGGCATGTGGCTGGAGAACTCAATCGACAGGTGGGCGCCATGCCGGGTGGGCGCCTGGTGGGCGGCGCGGCGGCCGGCGCGTGTTTGGGAGTTTGTTCTGGCGGCGGTGGCGGTGGTGGTGGTGGTGGTGCGTCGACAGTTGTCGGGTGTTTGTCTGGAGGTGGCAGCGTGCGGCATAGGGAGCGGTGGCCCGCAGGCCGAGCCGTGGCTGCCCCCGCTCCTCCTCATCCCCCTCATCCCCCTCCTCCTCCTCTTCCCCCCCCGCAGGGACATCTCCCTGCGCCTCCACGTCCCCACCACCTCCCTGGTGCCCCCCTCGGCGGGCACAGCGCGCAC